CTGGGATATGGTATGTGTTGGCGGCGGAGCTACAGCTCGATTAAAAATGAATCAAATTTCTTAAAAAAGATTCCTGGTTGTCCTTCTGAGTAATTCAGCAATCAGCTACGCAAGGTTTGAAGGCTTTTTTCAAGCAAACTACGATCATTTATTGCACTATGTGAGAGCGAAGCATCTTTACGAAAAATTCATTCATTTCAACTAAAGGTTTTTCTGAAAGGTTCAAAGCATTTTCAGAAAAGAAAAACCAAGAAAAAAGCCATGGATTACAAAAATTTTCAAAAGAAGAATTAACCAGACATTCATCATCCTTAGGGATTCAGATCTTCGTCCTTCCCAACAACTTTTTTTTTGAGAATTTTTCGCTTTGTGCGGCATTTTTCGGGGATTTCGGATGTTATTGGAATTTTTTCGCTACCATATTGGGAAAATAGACTACTTTTCGAACAGTTTAATGCAATAGAAATTTTTGGTCGGAGTCCCCCTTGGAATTTCCTCTCAAAATGCCGCTATTCATAACAGATTTATGGAGATGGAAAAAATCGTCGAGTAGTACATCTTTTTCGTGTCTCATTTGTTTTAACTTTCCCATTTCAGAACAAATGCCGAGCAAACAACTACTGTATGAACTGAGCCAGACTGTTTTTGAATACATGGATTCTAACTTTCGGTGAGTTAACAGACATTTTTTGGATTTAAAAAATTCTTAAACATATTTTCTCAGATTCCATCACTCCCTACACCTGCCTTCGATCCGTTCCATCGAGAAAGGAACTCATCTGAAAATTAACGAACTGGCTCTCACAGACGCCCGAATCTCTGTCAATAAAACTAGATATGCACTCACAATCAGCATCGATCGACAATATGAAATCAGCATGTCCGTGTTTCATGATGTCGATGAGTTTGGATTCAGAAGAAACACAAACGGTATAATGATGAATGGAGATGTTCGTATGGAAAATGACAGTGATGATGAGGTAGAAGCAGTAAGAAGAATTCGTTTGAGACATGAGAAGTTGGGCCTGATGGAGACGATGAAAGAGAACAAGCGTCCTGAATCCAGGCACACTTTGAAATTGACAATCAAACCTGAAAATGGAGAGCCAAGGATTTACAAAAGTTCAAAAATCATTAAAATTTATGAAGGAATGAAAATGCTGATTGGTGTGATATTTGGAAATCGATCAGTGATTTGGAATGTAGAATCCATGTTTATATCGGCTGGCAACCTTCGTTGGATTGCGTCCGGAGTAAAGCCATTAGCTCGAAATTTACAAGTGATGGGTTATGATTCTGTCAATTTGGATGGTCTTCGATCGATATGTCATCCAACCAGTTTCCCCTTGAAAAGCCTCTGCTGTGCAGTAAATCTCAGAAATTTGGATCACGAAATTGTGGTGAATACTGAAAAACTGCATCTATATTCGGGAGGGTATATTTGTCATATAGATCAACTTATGAGAGTTTCAAATTTAAAAGTTCGCATGTTTCGGATTCCTGAAAACCGCTTTGCTCGCTTAATGAGCCTTTGGCTGGAAAACGGAAGACCAGTTGGGACGAGTTGGTCGTTTGAAGTTCAAGGGCTTCCCTTTCAAGGAGAGGAACCGTTGCGGTATATAGATATTCTAAGAGGAAATGCTCAAGTTATCGAATCGGATCGTAGGTACAGTTCAAATTTTGATTCGCTGAGAAATTCCAAGTTTGAGGCGAGATATGCTTCTTCCATTAGAGCGCGTTTGATATTGCCAGTTTTCCAACAACCGATATTTTCAGATCTATCAAACTGTCAATTGGTCCATCCTCCATACTATTCGTCTCCTATGGTGATCCAATATTCCATCAATCTATTAACAGAAATCAATGGTCACTGAAAATGGAAGTGCTCAAACTATAAGAATGTTGAATTTCTACTGTCTTCTCATCTTGTATTCTAATCAATTTTTCTAGTTTTTTGAAAAATAAAACATCTTCAAAGGCAATTGTTCTAAAGAGCTTTATTTACATAACAAAGGATGTTCAGCCGAAACACTGAAAAACCTTACCCTCAACTTTGAGCCGACTTTTCTCGGTCCCTGTAAGAGGCACAAAAAAGTGGTCAACTAATAAAATGTTTATCATATTATCAAAAACATTTTGTTAGTTTACCACTTTCTGCTTCCTTTCACAGGAACCGAGATAAATTGGGTCGAAGTTTGAAGGCCTGTTTTTGAGTATAACTTGCTTTTTTTCGTTTCTTTGCTGGAAACATGCTTTGAATCTTATTGGAAAACTTTTATTCCATATTAATAAATTCAAACATTGTAAAATTAATCACTGTTTTTGTTTTTTTTTTCATCAAAAAAACCTATTTTATTCCCCTTTTCTCCCATCCCCAAGGCTTGGGACACAAGCTCAAAAAAGGAAAAAAGGACGAAAAAATCCATGGGATCGAGAAGATTAAAAAAGCGGAAATGCAGTGAAAAATAGACAATTTTCCATCTTTTTTTCCTCAATTTTTTCGCTAGTGCGAAAGTAAAGTTTAAGCAAGATTTATGTGATTTCCAATGTGATGGGAAACTTATTTTGTTAACTTTTCAGCAGGAAAATCGATATTTTAGTGTTTATGTGTATCCTGAAAATTGAAAATTTCCAATTTTCATAGCTGAAATCCTATACAAATAAAAGAAAATCCGAAAAAGATCATTTTTCAAATGCAATTTTTTCAATTTCTCAGCGCCTAGTTGATTATTTTGCAAAGTTTTACATGTCATTTGGTTTGGATTTTTTTGCTAAACACGATTTTCAACCTTTCGAATCGCATAAATCACAAATTACCGAAGAAAATCTATCTTTTCCCTGTTTTCCAATAAAATAATTTCGCTTTCTCAACGGAGCGCGCTTGCATCGCTGACATTTCCACCGCGGTTTCCAAGTCGATTCAGCCACCGCCAGATTTGAAATTTAGTCTGTTTTGAGTGCAATTTCCGCTAAAAACTTGAAAAAATTAAAATTTTGTATCAAAAATTTCAGGAAAATGAACCAGGATGAAGTGGCGAAGGCGCTGTTGGGCATGGCGGAAGCGCTGAGAACTCAGGACCCGCCAAAACTCAAAATGGCTATTAAATGTGCAAGAGTGAGCTGAAATTGAAATGAAAAATTGTCGAAAATTAAAGAAAAATGAGAAAAGAGAGCTGAAAATCTGGAAAATTTTGAAAATTCGGAAAAAATTTTTTTTCCGATTTTGCTCAAAAAATGTCAAAATCGGTCAAAAAATTCCAAAAATACACAAAAATGACCCGGAAAAAAATTCCAGAGCGCTGTAAAACTGGACACAAACGACGAAACGAGGGCTCGATGCAATTTGCAGCTCGGAAAATTGCTCTTTTTCTATACAGAGAATTTCGACCTAGCCCGCAATCATTTGCAGTTGGCGGTGAGTTAAATAGGTTTAAAACGGTTTAAAAATGGTCTAAAATTGGTCCAGAACACCATAATATTCAAAATTTTCAATTTCCAGTACGACAAAATGACACAAATGGGCGATTTCGCTGCTCGGGAGCGAATGCACGCTATTTCGATGATTGCCGATCTTTATATTCACTGTAAGGACATCCGGATGCACAGATTTACAAAAATTTCAATTTTCAGACCAAAACTGGCCGGCTCGACCGATTAAAGACGCGCTAAAACACGAGATTCTGCATACACGTGGATTCCAGACGCTCACCAATAAGCTCCTGTTTCAATTGATTGTAAGGGTGGCTTAGAAAATCGAGAAACTGCCTAGAAATCCATAAATCTCAAAAGTTAGGCCACAGAAATGGTGTGGCCTAGAAAATCGCAAATAAAACAGTTAGGCCACGTGAAGTTTTGATATAGAAACCACATAAAAATTGCCTTAGAAAGAAGCCTGATGGCCTAGAAATGTCTTAAATGGCCTAGAAACTCATAAATCTCAAAAGTTAGGTCATCCAAAAAAATTGGCCTAGAAACCCTCTTCCAGTAAAATGGAGATGGCCTAGAAAATCGAAAAATAAGAAAGTTAGGCCACCAAAATTTCTGGCATGGAAACCTCAAAAATGGCCTCCGAAAGATACCTGATGGCCTAGAAATGTCGGAAATGGCCTAGAAATTCAGAAATCTCAAAATTTAGGCCATTTAGAAAAGGGGTGGCCTAGAAAATAGCAAAATGGAAAAGTTAGGCCACACAAGAAGTTGGCCTAGAGATCTTAATTAATCCACAATGCTCATGACCCTGGTGTGTTTCCTAAGTCATTTTCAAGTGGTGGCCTAACTTTCGACAATTTGGTTTTCTAGGCCACCACTTCAAAATGGTTCTCATGAAAACTTAGCTGACTTAGAAAATCGAAATTCCTCAAAAATGGCCTAGAAAATGATGATTGCAAAAGTTGGGCCACAGTTCTTAGCTGGCCTAGAAACCTTCAACCTAGGCATACCTCTTCCAGGTAGGGTCCTATAAGATGGCCTAGAAAAAAGTTAGGCCACAAGTCTCCCCAATGGCCTAAAAACCTTCAAAACTAGGCCATAACTCTTGCTGGCCTAGAAAACTCCCAATTTCTCTCTTCCAGGAAATCAACAAAATCGACAACGACTCGGACGGCGCATTCGATATGTGTCACTATGGCATCGCACAAAGCGCCGCTGCGAACAACGCCAAAATGGAATTATACTTTCGAATCACGAAAACGTTGGTGACATATCAATTGATGCACGAGGAGCCGCCCAACGAGGATGTGCTCAAAATTGGACAATTGATTAAGGGTGAGCAGGAAAATCATTGAAAATGGGCTCGAAATAGCTGAAAAACGCTAGAAATTGAGCTAAAAAGTGCTAAAAATCACCGGAATCAGTCAGTTTTAAGCTAAGCTAACTGATAGGAAATGAAGCTGAAATTGGTTAAAATCAATCTAAAAACGGCCAAAACGACATTTGAAATAGCAAAAAAATACCGTGAAATGGCTGAAAATTGGCTGAAAATACGGGAAAATGGCTTCAACATGCTGAAAATTGAGTTTAAAAATCTCCAGAATCGATGAATTTTGACAGAAAATCAACTGCTGAAATTAATCCTTAAAAAATGGCTGAAAATTGAAAATGGCTGAAAATGAGTCAGAAACTAGCCCAACATGAACCAAAAAATTAGTCGAAAAGTTTCAAAAATAGTGCTAATTTTGCGCAAAAATGGTTGGAAATCGTAAAAATAGGTCAAAAAATACACCAAAACTAGTTGAATTTGGTCGCGTATAGCTTTAAAAAATAGTCTGAATTCGGGTTAAAATGGTCAAAAATTCATTACTGGGTCTAAAACGAGTCAGAAAACAGTCAAAATGATCCGAAATTGGTGAAAATGGTCGAAAATCCGACGAAAAATGAGCTAATTTTGGCCTAAAATTGACCTTTTTCGTCACTAAAATCCATCTAAATCACCAGTTTTTAGCACTGGAAGCGGATCCAGCAGACAAGGCTCATCTGGAAGTGATCAAAGATTTTTTCGTTTGTACAAAGCTGGCCTACATGTTTTATCAAGGCAAATCGCGAACGTCCAGACAACTTTTGAGACAAATTCAAAAGCAACAGACGAGTGGAGAGACGACAATTCAGGGGATCAGGTAGGGTGGAATTGTGAGAAATTGGTTAAAAAGTGGTCAAAATTCCGTCAAAATTGATTGAAATTGGTCCAAAATAAGGCGCAAAATTTGGTCCAATAGTGATTTTAGACAATTTCTGACCTATTTTTGACCACTGTTGAGTCATTTTAGACCCATTAAAAAATCAATTTCAATGAATTTTTGACCATTTTAACCCGAATATTCTGACTAATTTTTAAAGCTATTCGCGGCCAAATTCGACCAATTTTGGACCATTTTTGACTAATTTTTGACGAATTTTGGGTTAATTTGACTGATTTTGGACCACTTTCGGACCCTTTTTGGCTTAAAAACTGTCTAAAATCAGCCGAAATTGGTCCTAGTAATGTTAAAAAGTCCGTCAAAATTGCAAAAAATCAGACAAAATAGTCGGAAATTGAGAAAAATGCTCCAAAATCAATCAAAAATGGTCAAAAATCAGCCAAAAAACTAGTTTTTACCCTTTTGCGAAACATTTTTGGATCATTTTGAACCTATTTTTGACTGATTTTGAGCACTTTTCGTCCATTTTTGACCTCCTTTTACACGATATTTGATGGATTTTCGGCCATTTCTAGACCATTTTAGACTAATTTGTGACCCACTTTGGGTCAATTTGACTTATTTCGGACCATTTTTCGGCCCTTTTTGACTTAGAATTAGTCTAAAATCAGTCAAAAATGATCAAAAATCAGCTGAAAAACGAAAAAAAATCGGTCATAAAACGACGAAAATTCAGTCAAAAATGGTATGAAAAACGGTTAAAAATCAGTCAAAATGGTCTAAAATCAGTTTTAAAAGTTGTCAAAATTGCAAAAAATCAGACAAAATAGTCTGAAATTGTGAGAAATGCTCGAAAAGCAATCAAAAATGGTCAAAAATCAGCCAAAAAACCTATTTTTTACCCGTTTTTGAAAAATTTTTGGATCATTTTGGGCCTATTTTTGACTGATTTTGAGCACTTTTCGTCCATTTTTGAGTTCCTTTTCACAATTTTCGATGGATTTTTGATCACTTTTTGACCATTCTCGGATAGTTTTTGACCCTTTATAATTATTTTAGACCATATTTGCAAACGGGCCGACCCGGGCAGATGGCGGGCCGGCAGATAACTCGGCTTCAGAACAAGATTTTTTGACGGATTTGAGGGGATCCTCTAGAGTCGACCTGCAGGCATGCAAGCTTGGCACTGGCCGTCGTTTTACAACGTCGTGACTGGGAAAACCCTGGCGTTACCCAACTTAATCGCCTTGCAGCACATCCCCCTTTCGCCAGCTGGCGTAAT